CCAAAGTATACAGGAAAAAAGGAAAAGAAAGAAGATCACATAAATCACTGCTGTTGGGGAGAACAGCTCCCTGAATTGGGTCTTGACAGCACAGCTGCTTTTCTTTAGTCTGTGGGGCAGTAGTGGTGATAAAAGACTAACAGAGATGGATGAAAATAATTAAGTGGTATGAAAGAGAGGGGATGAGATGAAATGAAAATGAAATTAAAGAGGAAATCAAGAGGAATGGCAGGTGGGAGGAAGAAATTGCATATTCCCCTGAGCAATATTTTAGGTTATGGGTAGTTTGCTTCAAATCTAGGTGGGCCTCTAGCCCTCATTTCTAACTGAATCAAGGACAGCCATCTGACAAGGAAAACAGATGAGAAATAATGGGAAGTGGGTCAGTAACCCAATGCTCAAACATGTATATTGTTTCTGGTCATACGTCATACAAATTTGACCATATTGCCGCATGGTGGGAAAACAAAAATAATCCGACAATGAATGTTGGATGAAAAGATGTCATACCCAGGCCTGTCGTGGGAAAGACCTCTGTACATTTCTGAGCTGCACTCAGGAATGAGAGGTAGTTGTCAAAAAACAGCAAAAGGTTTTATCAAAGATCTGCCAAGTGTGCTCACAGGTGAGTATTTGTCAAAAATAAAGTGATTTTTTTTTTTTTCCCCATGACTTAGTTACCCTGTGTAGTATCCTCTCCCCTGGTAGTGGTGCTCATGTTTTTCAGGTGAGAGCAAATGCTTCTTGTTGGCTGGTTCAGGCACTTTCTGGTGTGATGGAATGTGTGGTTTTTCTGCTCAAAGTCACCTTTTACATGAAAATCATCCTATCAGCTGGGCATGTCTGAGAAATCGTGACCTCCAAAAGGACTGTTGGCTACACCTGTTTCCATTTCTGTGCCTTTTTCCATCTCTGCTCTCATCTGAGAGGCTCAAAGCAACTTCTGCTGAGGAACCATGCAACCAAACTGGGGCAGGACTGTGTCCCTGTGGGAGCAGAAGACGTTGGAGTAGGTCTAGTGATGGTCTTCCATGCATCAGTGGTTTGAAAATCCCTGCTGAAGGGAGGTAAACAAGCTCTGAGCAGTTGGTGCTTGCAGACGATTGCCCACACTTGACTGCAGGAACCCTAATTTCGCTCTCTGTGACCCGAGCTAAAAGCTGGGGTCTGCTGTCAGTGACATTTCACTGGTGCGAAATGTAGATGAACCATCTGCAATGATGCCTTAAAATCCAGGAGTCCTCAGTTCTACTGCTGGCTCCGCTGCAGTTTTTTTAACATAACCTTGGGCAGGTCTCAAGTCTTAGGAGTCTCGGTTTCCTACCTGCAAAGCAGAGGATTCAGTTTCTTTTCCTCAGAGCAGCATAGTTTTATAAAGTATAAATATTTGTGACGTTAAGTGTTTTGACTGTGTGACCATTTCAGAGAAGAAACCATAAATATGTGTCAGGCCTATGATCTGAATTCAAACCGGTGAACTAGAAAAAGCGTTGACAGCCTTAAACCAACTGCCCTGTACACACATCTCCTTCTGTCTACCTGAAAGCTTATTTGTGGAATGTGTTTCTATTTTTCTCTGACAAAAAATAGAATACCAAGCAAAGAAGCATGACCCATTTTTTTTTTGTCAGGCAAGCTCTAAACCCTGCTTACTGGGATGTGACTGAGGTATTGATAAAAGAGAAGCTCATTTTAGGCCACAATATTCATCCTGCTGCTGAAGAAGAAACAAAGACTGCCACCTTCAGATGAAATGGATGTGCTTTCCAAGCCAAGGTATGTTTATCTCCTCCACAACTTCTCTATGATCTGTAATTATATTTGGACCATACAGTGAAAGAGAAAAGTGGCAAATGAGGAGAATTAGGAATGTAACTAATCATAATAGGAACACATACAAGCAATACACCACTGAAAGTATCTGCAAACTCTGTTAATGGTCGATCAATAGGTCTGATAAAAGCATCACTCATCATAAACTGTATCACCTTCAGTAATTTGTCATGGTCCTTTCTCTGCGTAATGCCAAGTTTGGGTGCACATCATGCTGTTTGTAATTGTTGGCCATAGGAGTGGACTTTCTCCATGGGTCTTTTTTCTTCAAATACAGCATGTAGTATATTCAAACCAATATCAAGTCATACCACACTGAGCTCTTTATTACCAGAGATTTTTGGACAGAAGCACATATTCTAGATTTTTCTGAATCAACAGGCAGATGGTAGCCCCCTTTTTTTTTTTTTTTCAGTATTTTTTCCAACCTGTACATTTTAGATTTACATAACTTGGTTTCACACATCTGAAGAAGAAACACTAACATAAATCTATCTTCGATGCATTTACAAATATTTTTCTTTTTTCCCTGACATGTCTCTGTCTAGATTTCTGCCAGAAAGCAGGAACTTTAACTTTCTCTTCTGTTGATGTAAATACCTTTTAACCTTGTGCAGAGAATGGCATGACTCCTCACTGTCTCATGAGGATGTTGGACCCATTCACTCCAGCACTGAAACGCGTTGGGTTTCCATCGGCCAAGGTAAGCAGCTCTGACATTTTCCCGCTATAAACTGTGTTGCTGTGGATATCACTGAAATACATGATCATTGTGACTCCAGGCTAGTTGAATTTTTTTATTATGGTTTTCAATTTGGTTCACTGGAACAATGAAGGTTAGCTGCACCCGGCTCTTAGTTTGACTTCACGTTTTATTAGTCATTATTTTTGCAAAGGCCTTAATTCCCCTCTAAAACATTTTAATTAAAACAGCAATTTCTCAGTGTTGCACTTCGTGAGCAGATTTTGCAGCAACTTCAAAGAGACGCAGATGTTTACTGAATTTGGTGTGGTGATATTTGAGGCTGCCTACTGGCAAAGAAAAATTCATAAACATCTCTAAGAAACTTTGCTGTGGTAATGACAACATTTCCTTCTTATATTTTAGCAAGTCTAATATTTCCCAGTCTTGGCAGGCTTATTTCATAGACACAGACATAAGCATTGTTATCTACTCACAGACTGAGCCATGTCAGATACACCGCTATGGAGTAAATACCTCTCAATGGTGATACCTCAGACTTTGGCAAAGGATACAAGAAGCCATGGATTAGTTTGCTGTGTTTAGGTCATCTTACACAGTATCAGTAGACTGGGAATAAGGAAACCGAAGTTCAATTTCTGCTCGATTTTCCATAGCCCTCCAATGTGATTTTGAGTGGCCATTTAGCTTGGTATGCCTCAGTTCCTACTGGTAAAGGGATGATAACATATCCTGGCTTTTAATCAGCTTATCTCCTGGTGGCAAGGTCTGTCTCCTAGTCCACAAAGGGCTTCCTAGCTCTAGAGGGTCCCGGGGTTTTTAAAATGGTGTTCTAGGAAAATTAAGAAAAGCTAAGGATTTATTTTGATTTATTATGATTTTTTAAAATTTGATTTATTTATATATTCTCTTTACTTGTGGCGGGTGAGCCTGGAGCTGGTCTGATGATCTCGTTTTGGGAGCATACCTATCTGTGGGTAACCGGACAGGCAGTGGTCCTCTCCGAACTGAGATGATGGGACTAGGGATACATGGCCATGGCAGACTATAACTAAAACATAGACATGGGTCCAGGTATCTTCTGTGGTTTAGGCAGGTGGCTGTGGCCAGAAAATACGTGGCCTGTCCAGTTGGGCCACCAGTGAGGCTGGTCTCCATGTGCTAGGACCTACAACTGGTGGTGAGGCTCATGCTTCTGTTTAGTCTTTCCATGCACAGAAGAAAAACAAGCTTCTTCCCTGGACGCTTTTCACTCTCATCTCTTTTGTAAGGGGAAATAATAAAAGTACTTGGAAACAATGTACTCATTTCCACTGTGGGCACCAGGCAAGGCCCAGCACGGAAAGCTGGCATGGAGTATGGCGTGACACGTCATGTAGCTGCTTTAATATACAGTGTAATTACAGTGACAAATTTCTGCCTCTTGAAGCATCAGGGATTGAAGTGGTTGCCCTGAAGGAGAAAGAAAATTAGTGGGAGAATTTTGACCAACTCTAGGTCGGGAAGTGCAGCACTTCCTCTGCATTGGATTAAAAGTGATCAGCATGGCCAAAGGGGTCCTGTGAGAGACAGGTAAGCAGGCTGAAAGGAAATTGGAAATATTAAAGAAACAAAGCTGGACTGGATAGAACAAGTTTTACAATTCCCTATTCCTCTTTGATTCAGTAGCATTAGGCATACTGAAGGGTAGATTGCGCAGACTTATGCGTGACAGCAAGATACTTTTCCACATGAATAAACGCCCTGAAATTAATTGGACTGCTCACAAAAGTGCCTGGGAATGTGAACTAGGCTTGCACATTTCAGCCCTCAGATTTGATCTTCAGCAATGCAAGGGCCAGGCTGCATGGTGAACAGCAACAGCTTAGCTAGAAATGTGAATTCAAACCGCTCGCAGTGAGTAGATCAATGTCTCTGTGGACGCATTCTTGCTGAAGAGCATCTCATCTCAGCTGAGTTCACCTTAGTAAGAAACCGATTAAAATTAAACTGAAAGAAACTATTCCTAAAAGGAGAGCAGGGCTCAGGCGCAGTTTGCTTACCACAAACTGTTGTGCGCTTGCTGTGCCATGCAATTGCACACACGGATGCTTTTAGCTGGTGACAAATGCTCTCAATGAGAATTAGCCTGGCCTGCAACGAGGGAAGCTTAAATTTAGGTTATTCTCCCGCGTGTGCTGTGGGATAAGAGCACACAGCCAAGCAGCCCCTTGCGTGTGGGTGTGCCTGAGCGTTCGAGGTGTCCACAGAGGCATTCGTTTAAGCTGAAATGCTTGTTCACCAATTGCAAATGGGCTGGTGAAAAAAACAAACCCTGTGTAAAAGCCCGCTGGCATGTTAGTCTGGAAAGAAATAGCTTTGTTGTTGTTTCAAAGAATTAGCGAGCCAACAACGCAAAGCTTTGGAGTTGGTTACTGGGTTTTTACTGCAGTCTCTACGAGCTATACAAAGTCTGAAGACATTGTACGTACAGTACATCTTTAATAAGAAGGGAGCTCACAGTCTACCAAACTCTGCCAAATAAACTTTTAATACATACTGTACTTCACTCAGTAGTTGTCCATCTCTTCTTCATGGAATATCTAACAGCTCTAAAAATATTTTCTTGGAAGAGGATAGAATTATCATTGTTATATATCAATCAAGTATGGTTAATGAAGCAAAGCCAGCATGCTAGTATTGCACAAGGGGAAAAGCCTCCAGAACACAAAGTGGAACAACAAATGCCCTCGAAATTCTGCCGAAGGGAACGGGAAGCTCTGGACGCCGCGTCGGTAGGATTTGTGTAGCTCTTAGGCGTCCTTGTACCGAAGCAGGTTTGCTTTGCCTCTTCACTGCCACATTTCTCTCTGAAACAGGTAGGGATCTTCCAGACCATTAAAAAAAGAAAAAAAAAAATTACAGCAGCTGCAGCAAAGTGTGGTACTATTCAATTTCTTGAAGAGTGAGGCTTTTATTTCAAAATATCATATATTAATATATATATATTTCTATATATATATATATATATATACTTTACTGATATAAAGTAAATTGTAGATCCAAACTTATACTGTTGTTTGTACTTCGCAATCTCGGAAACTTTACCAAAGGAACCATTTTCTTCATTTTTATTTTCAGCTGTCAAAAATCAGGGGCATTATTTCCACTGAATATTTTCTTTCACACAGTAAAGCCAGCGTTGTTTTCTGGTAAACAGTCAAAGTGCAAATAAGAAATCCATTTGGCTTGTAAATGCTGAGATGGTTTTAAACTTTCAATACTTTGTCCTCATAAATCAGCAGGGCTTTCACTGTCTCCATGCAGACGGCGCTCTGTTAGGTCCTCGGGTGGATCTGCAGCAAGAAAGTGCGAAAGTCAGCTATATAAAATATGTTATGAGAGGAAGGAAAGACCCAGGCTTCATGGCACTTTGCCCCTGCTCATGATATAGCTGAGTTTAAACTGCAATATTTTCGGTGGGATTCTTGTCTCTTTGCAGGGATTTAAGGGTGGGCAAGAGGCAGACCCTGAGCGAGCTCCTGCCTGTGCCTTGGGAGATGCTGGACATGAATCCATCACCTGGGTGGTGGTGCAGGAGATGCCAGGACAGCTTTGGGCATGGGGCCATGCTCACCCCAGCCTTCCACCCTCCCCTTCCCAGAGTGATGCTAGTAGCTTCTGCCGGACAAGGACATGCAGATGGATCCATCTTTCAGGTTCATTTGGACCCCCATCAACCCACTTACCCAAAGAGGGGCAGGATAGGAGCCACTAGCTATATAACAGACTGGGAAGTCTGACCGACTTCATCTACTCACCCCGGGTGAGATAACACAGCCTGCAACAGCCCATAAAACCATCGTTCTTTATGACTAACACCACAATTGATCTGAGTGAGTGCACTAATGGCTTGAAGAGGAAACACCACCGCCCAGAGGTTTTTTTAGGATGCTGAAATAAGAACGACCGACCAGAAGCAAAAATAGCTCTCTCGAGGCGAGGCTTTTGTTTCTTTCCCTCACTGATACACACAGATGAATGGCACAAGGGGTCCAACCCTTTGCTAGACGACTAGGTCAGCAATGAAACTCAAATTGACTTGAATACGAGCAGGCTTGGGCATTAAATCAGGGCTACAAATTATTAGCTAAGGACTAGGTGATATGATGAAATGCAGCAGTAAGTCTTATAGCAAGAGATATTTACTATCTTGTGCTTTACTGCTCTGAACTGACCTCTTAATTACAGCGACTGTTATCACAAAAATAGAGGGGTTTCTTCACTGCTCTAGAGAAAAACTTAATCAGGAAATCATCTGACATATTAACCTAGTTGGACAGCTTAAAAAAAAGAAAATAAAACTCTGCGTCCATTTATCATTTCCTTCCTTCTCCCAGTTCCCATTTTGTCCTCTCCTGGTTTGCCACTGACAAGTGACCCTGCTGGGTTTTTCTCTCTTGGGGATGAATACACCCCTTTCTCATTTGTACACCGCCTCAAGAATTTGTGAGGTTGGTGTAGGAGCAGGGAATGACAAGGGACTGTGGGCACCCCAGGTGCTATTTGCTGCAGCGTGAGATGAGCAGCGGCTGCTAAGAAATGTGATGCTCGGGTCACTTGGGGCACCGTAAAATGGCCTGCATTTCTCTGACGGCAAAATGTGTGGTAAACCAGGAGTTACTTTGGAAACTGGGGGCTGGGTGGGCTGTAGTGGAGGACACAGGCTGTGAAGCTGGAGAGATGCTTCAAGCTGAGCTGTTCTGCCAGTCCCCAGGTGCTCAGTGCTTTAATTTCCATCCTCCACAGTGTCAGCAGAAAGCCAGCTTGTTGAAGTATTCAGAGGGCTAGCACGTGAAAGCCAGGTGTTATTAGCGTGGATTACAAAAAATGGGCATTTTGCAACGCAGTGTGCACATGAGCCTGGGCAGAAAGCCCTGGGGAAGGGCACCGCGCTCCTCAAGGGCCCTGCAAACGGTGCACAGCAAGTGGTGTGTAGACACCAACCCAATGCCAAGAGCTTGTGAGTGACTCCCTCACTCGGATGGGAAGTGATAAAACATGGGATGAATGTTTTTCAGCAGCCCTGGTTCTTACAGGCATTTATGTGCACCATCTCCCAGGACTGGGACCGGGCTCTTGCATTTCCCCTGGTGCCGGCTGCTCTGCTAAGATGTGGTGATGTGATCTCCAGCCAGGTCCTGGTACAGCTCCAAGAGCCCCGCATTTTTAAGGAAAGCATTGAAATTTATGTTCTTAAAAAAAAAAGAAGAGTGAATAGGGTTTTAAAAAAGCATTGAAACTGCTTAAAAAATTGAATTACAAAATGATTTCTGTCCAGTGGTTGTCACTTGCTCTGATCATAAGTAGAAAACAAATCGATTTACAGAGGCTGTGAGCTTTATATCTTTGGCTTTAGCAAAGTAATTAGTGAGCTACGCTAAAGGACTAAACACAGGAATAAATGCGTGAAAAGGAAGGAATGGAGGATGTGCTGGCAAAGCCTTCACTGGATCTGTTGTCCACCTTCTTCTGACGCTAATCAGTATTAATCACATCTAAGAACCAACCATGAAGTAATACACTACACTGTAAAACTACATATATGTGTATTTGCATATATACGTATACACACATGCTTATATGTGATTTACTGTGGGCCTTGAAGAATACACTAATAGGTATTTTAATCCTGTGAGTCATAAATGAGAATGTTTGCCTTGTCAGGACAGCAGCTGCCTAACGTAAATGTATTTAGTGTAAGGAAAAGCCTTCATTAAAACAGTTTACAGTTTACAGCCTATGGTGACTTGCTCTAGCTTTTTGGCTAATCACCACAGATATATCTAGTATGTTGACTGATTTCCCTCGTTTCTTCTGCTTTCTTAACTTCCTTAACTACATAAATTAGACACACACGGCCCAATCTTGCAGCCTGGATTGGGGTCTGTACAGATTATAGTGTAATCTCTTTCTCTGATGCCATCTGAAATGACAAAACAAAGAAAAAAATGCCTGTTTCAGGATCTGATTGCTTCTATTACTTTATATTTATGCTGCTAGACTTAACACAGCAGTACAGATTCAAGCAAAGTTTCAGGGATTAGGAAGTAGAATTTTTGCTTAGAAAATGCAAGAGGCAGTTGCTAAGCACATCATGTCATGTTGCCTTTGTCACTTTGGTTCTATAATGATACTTTAAAGCCACAAAGCAAAATTCTACTGGAAGCAGCACCATAAGGTACTACCCTCACAAGCTAATTAAAATAAGTCCTGTGGGTAAATGAAGAAATATTTTTTCAGTTATGAGCACTCACTCTGTAAGTATTTAATTTAAATGAAATACAATAATGCATACTGAGTAGATTGGACCATACATCTGCATATTAATGAAGCTGCTAAATTTCTAGCAATCACTTCTAGATGCAGGCTATCGCCTAAAACTAGTTTATGTGATGAGGGCTGGGGGAGTTAAGAGCAGGACAATTTCACAAAAAAAAAGCAAATGCAATTCCTAAATTATATAATTTGCAGACAGACTGCAGAAGTACTGAATTATTGTAATTTAACAAAAGTATAACAAACTTCTTCAAGTTGCTTATTACTTCTTTAATATCACTTTCTTCCATTTTAATTCCCCATTTCAGTGAGAAGAATGTTGCCTCACTGAAAAGGACACGTAGTAAGTTTGTTGTTTCTGGTTTGTTTTTTTTTTTTTTAATTGCACTGCAAGGTGCATACATTAGGGCACAATCTTCCAGTGGTGTTTCAGTGAGGAGAGATCAATTGTGAGCATAGAGTGGTTTGCAGCAACAACAACACTGCAGGAAGAAATTGAGTCAATGAATCACAGTTCCCTCCATGCTTTCTCCTTTGCTCTGGGAGATGCCAGAGAGATAATATGCATCCTGTTTTCAGGGGCCACTTACTGCCTTCTGCAAAGAAAACCTCCTAAATTAGTATGTATCCTAGTAATTTAATGCGGTGGTGAGATTAGCCATGCCAGAAGGCACTGTTCACGAAACTAAGATTGCAATACAAATCATTCATCCTGGGGTAAATCATATGGAGGGAAAGAATTCAGATGGCATGGGGATCAGTTGGGGTAAAATCTCTTCCTTTGACAAAAGGCCTAGAAGATATGAAAAATGACTAGAGTTAGGACTGTAGAAAAAGGAAGAAGTCAGGAGATCATGACACTAAGCTTCATGTTCCTGTGAATTAGTAGCTGGCTATGAGTACGTAGAACTTCTTAATAAACAGGGAAAAATTTCTTGAAAATTTGCTTTTTTTCATTTAGCAGGTATGAAAAGTTATTTTCCACTTCACTAAAAACCAAAATGTATTCATTTATAAAAAATAATTTGAGTTGACAACCATGTAATTTTCTTGGAAAAAAATTCAATCTTGGTATGAAAATAATTTAATTAAAATTGTTGAATACAGGTATAGGTGGCAGTTTGAAGAAAATGGTTGTGAAACAATTGCACAACACAAAAGAAAAGCTAGAATCTATTTTTGAAAAACACTTTTTTCCCCAAAGGTAATCTTATAGTGGGAGAAGTTTAGCCAGTTCATTCACACCCTCTCTCTTTGCAGCCGTATCTCTGCATTTTCCTAGCTATGCGTGCTGAAAGTTGTCGTCACCTGTTGGCCTGTGTTACCTGAATCTTCAGCATCTCAAGAACATGTCAGTAATTGGTGCAAAGGTATGTCAGTAGCTGCTCTGAAGTAAGATCTGAAATGCAGATAGTGAGTTGAGTCCTCAGCACCCTTTCATGCTACAAAGCACCTGTACAGGCTGCTAATACAGATGTGACCTGGAACAGCCAAGGAATGGCCGTAGGATCCAGCAGATCTCTTTAGTCTAATATTCTTCCCTTTAGCCACCAGAAAGGGACTCAGTGATGTGCACTAGGTTTTTTTCTGAGGTGACAATGTCTGTAAGAAAGTGACCTGGCAATTCAGCAGCTCCAGCCCGCCGGTTATCAAGCCTGGACCCAGCTGACCAGCCTGAATCCATCTGAATTTTCACTGAATTATGGCCAGAAGCATTGGGTGGCTGGGGAGGTATGCAGTGATCTTTTAAGACTTTTACAGCAGACGTGATGACAGAAAAGATATGGGTGAGCAATCATTAGTGACTCCCTTTCCTGTTAAGACCTCCTGGGTATAGACAGAAAGACGACTTACTCTGGTGGTCTTGATTTTATTGCCAGTCGCACACATCCATCCAGAATTATCAGGCAACGTCTTACATTCCTCTCCTTCTAGGCAGGGCTCCATCTCACACCACCATTTCCCAATCACTATTGAAGCTAAAAGAGAAAAGACAATGTTCACAACTATGTTATAATGAAAAATCTAATTAAATAATATCTCAAAGGTCTAACACTGCATTTAAGAGGCAGAGTGTCCCTTCTAAACCCTCCAGTTGAAGTTTAGTTGCAAGGATTTCACATTTAATTACTTGTTTTGCATCCTATATTCTCTAAGACGGGGCACTGCTTGCCGTAGCTTCCTCATACACGAGATCTACTATCGTGCTGTGACTGCGGGGAACGCTGTGATGGCAGCAATACTGCTTCAGACCAAAGGACCATCCACCCTAACAGCCCGTCCTCGTGAGTGGCCAGTCTGATCTTTACGGACATACATAAGACCAAGGCAAGTCGAAGGAGATTTTCCTCAGAATATTAGGTCTTCAGGACTTGTGGCTCAGGGTACTCCAGAATAAACAGTGTCTGCTTTGCTTTCAATACCTACAGCTGGCTTTTTCTTCCACAAACCTGTGCAGAATTTTTTGAACCCATGTAGACTTTTAGCTTTCCCAGTATCCCATGGCAGGGAGCATCACGACTAGAAATAGAAGGTAAGGTAATACTGAACAGCAGCAGAAGTTCAGTTTGTTGAAACATGATTATGAATTTCATAGAAACTATATTATCTCTAGCAGTAACTTTTAATTTCCAAATATTTAACGTTGTAAATAATGATAGTGTTTGGATCTTGTTGTTTGAATTTAATTGGCACATCTATTTACAACCTTGAGTGTACCTTAATGAAGTTTCTTGCCTGGGAATTGGTATCTGTCTATAACCTTAACTGTATCTTAATGACATTTTTTGCCTGGGGATTTTGATAAACTTTAGCTAACCTTGCAAATTGTGACTAGTTGGTGCATGAGCGGCTCTGTCTGTCATTTGTTTTCCCTCACAAGAATTAATTTAATGGTTGCACTCATGAAGCCTAACTGCCAAAGCTTCTGGCACACTCACTCAAATAGAGATGCTTAACCCATTCATATCACCCCACATAGCTGCTTCAAGCCCATAAAATACCTTTGAAGCAGCAGACTACCTTGTATCACAGTATTCAGCTCTGGAAAATGCCCTGCTGTGCATGCATTGATTTAAGGACATTTCAGAGTTTATAATTAAAGTCTTGATATACTTTTTATCTAGTTGTAATCTGTTTATGCTCACAAAATCCTAACACCCAAAGACATATCTGCAGCTGCTACTAATGTCCATCCCCTTAATTCACAGCTACACAGATGAAGCTACAAGTCCCTTTGTCTCTAGTCTCTAATGTGTGACCAAACCAAACTGAAAAATAAATGCGCCAATCCCATAGATACTCCTAGACTAAAATCTGTGTATCGCTGTTCCATTTCATCACGCAAGAGGAGGCTCTGTGTGGCACAGAGGGCAGGAGACTGTAGAAGAGAGAGTCAGCAAGGGACAAAAGAGGGACTCCGGCATTTTCAATAACGCCTGAACTGCATTCTTGTTTTCGGGTTAGGAGAAGTGGGCACGAGGTGACCACGGCGTTAGAGTTATGTGTCGTCAGCATTATCTACACAGAGTTATACCCATCACGCTCTCTTACCAGACCTGTTGTTGTCCCACCTAAGCAGCTGACTTTATTGCTCCAATCCTCATTTACTAGGAATGGTTCCCCTTTTGATCTAGCTCTGAGAGGAAAACTAACTTCTCATAGGACTGTTCCAATTTAGCATTTTGTTTTCCGGTGTGGTCCATGAAAAATGAACCACTGCCAACGTGGTCAACCCTCAGCCACTTTGAACTCTCCTGGCAGCCTCACGTAATTACTTCTTCTCCTTAATGATCCCCTGACTTTCTGATGCAGCTTCCTTTGCTGCAGACTAACAAACAACACACACACTGGTGCAAGTATGTAGGTGGTAATACTATAAATGTACATTTACAAATAGGAGACTTAGGTACACACGCTTACACCCAAACTAAGCCAAATACTGTATTATTTAGGTAAGAATGTAACAGGGAGAAATAATCTAGATTGGTTAAATGAACACAAAGGTATGTCACGTGCCCAGAAAGGAAGCTGGTTTTTTACGTAAAGCTGGTAGTAAACTCTGGGAAATAAAAATGGCTCATATAGAGTGGGAAATCCTGTAAAGAAGGTCAAGTATACATTAACTAAATTTCTTTTTCATTTTCTTTAAAGTGCAATTAAGACTTCCTTTAGAAAGGTGAGATCTTTGATGCTCAGAAAAGCTGGACAAACCAGGCCCTGCCATTTGTTGAGGTACATGGTTGATCTGAGCGGCATATGGTCAAGATATTTGGTGGGCCGTGCTGGAGTGCATCCAAGTATAGCCCACTTTAGTGCAAAATAAACCAGAATGAGAAGCAGTATTTCTGGGCCAGGTAATTAACTCTAATGGGAAGCTACTGCAATCCAGGAGCCCAGGTTAGTATCTCTAAAACAGGCCTTCACTTGGTGTGTGATTATACCAGCAGACTTGCTGAATAAGTGTCCCACTGGGATGTGGTTTTCATCTGCTGAATTTACTTGAAATGCAGGGAGAAACGCCTTGGGTTTGAAAGCTCCTTTGGTCTGGAAGAAGAGTTGCATAAGTTGGAGCAAGTGAGCTAAGCTTAGAATAGAGTAGGGTAGAATAGAAGAGAATAGTTCAGTTGGATGGGCCCTAGAATGATCATCTAGCTCTCTGTGTTGTCTTTCCTACTTCTTCTCACAGCTTATACTTAATTTTTATCATGTAATGTATCATTTCTCCATACGTAAAACACAGAAAAAAAACCCCTTTACACCTGCACTTGCAAAGCAGTTTAATGATGCTATTCGCACATCATTTTCAGAAGGGTATCATTAATGTTGCTAACAGTGGAGAAAAGAGATATCTCTCTTTGCTATGCATGAAAAGGCACGAGGGCTGAATCCGCGCTCTAATAATAGATTGTGCAATGGGCAAACTGAAAAACCATATCCTGCTAAATACTGGCCTTCACAGCAATCATCAGAGCAGAGCATCTTCAGAATACGTGAGAAGAATCCCATGATATGGAATCAAAAGGGATGATCATAATTATTTACTAGTAGCAGTGTCGTAGCATTAAGTAACCATGGAGAAGGATCCTATGGTGCTAGGTACTAAAAGCCACAAAACTGAACACCCTGGCCTAGGGAGTTTACAATGTAAAACAGAGATATGAGATGAATACAGGCTGAGAGGCAGCATGGAGAAGCAACACTGTTCATAGCAATTAAAATGATCTAACTACTTATTGATGCTGTTAAATACAGCCCAGATGTTCGGATATTGAGCCTGAAAAATAATTAAATGCAAAGTCAGTGCTGAACCTTAATGTCAACTGATTTGTGTAATAGTGTGCAGGTTTTCGTACATATATATATTAATTTGTGATCACGGTGCAGTTACAATCATAAGGTAGCCCACAAGGGTCCACCAGTGAGTACCCTCACCTGTCCCTACGCACTATAGCTAGGCTGGAAACAAGGCTCCTTTTATAAAGGGGCAAACTAAGGCCATGTGCAGATGAAAAGCTCCTATTTGTCTCTAATACGTAAGTGGGCAAAAAATCCTTTGTAAGTCTGAAGCACTACAAAGCTCGCTGTGGTCTAGCCCTCAGCACCACGCTGTGGCAGGGGTGTCCAGAGCCCAATGAAAATTATTTGCTTTGAGTCTTGTGTTTATAGGTTTTTCTCTTCTATTAAGAGCCTTTTAATCTTTAGGACCAGTTGTCCTTCTTGGGCACTGCTGATCCTTTGAGGTCTACTTGATTTCAAAGTTTTACACCTCCAGCTCTGTTCAAAGAGGCAGGAAAAAAGCTTTAAAATGAATCAGAGTTTGCTGCGTTTGAGATTAGGTACACCTGTATGGGGAAGGAGGGGAAAAGCTTCCCTGGGGAATACAATGCAGCTTCTTTACCTTTAGGTTATGTTGCCTGAGACGTGCCGAAGCCATCGTGTGAGAGAGAATTGTTAAAGTTAAGATGCTTCCCCTCGGGGTGGTTTGCATTCAAGATCTCCCAGATCCCAAGGAACCTGAGCTTCTCAGTGACCCGAACTGCTAATTCTGGATGAGAATTACAGACTGCCGTTAGTCACCACGCATCACAGGCTGTGAGTTCTCACATCATGCTGAATTAGATGCCTGTAATGTTTTGGAGTGGTTTTCTTTGTGTTCTTCTCACTGTCTGGGGAATACATGAAGCATGGAGTTTTTTCATGCAAGGCTGATTTGACTGAGACAGATACCCTCAGCCATGGGGAAAGAAAAAGGATATGATATAAAAGAGCCTTGACTACTCCTGCTTTGTTTATGTTTTGTTTCGGGGTTTTTTTTGTTCCCCAGCTCCTGCTAGTGTAAAAAAGGGATTGCTTATATCTAAGCTCTTTTCAGGAAAATGCCTCTTTTATGAGAATGTTAAACTCCAAGCATGTAACTAATGCAGCTGGGTAGGAAAGCAACTTTCTTCAGAAAATTCTTGAGGTTTTTTTTTCCAGTCCAATTCACACTGGTTTTTTTAAATCTTTGTTTGCAAAGCCACGGAAATTTTTTGATCAAAGTATTTAACTTTTGATGTATTTTGTCTGCATGGATTAACAGACAAAAAAAGCATTTGGTTGAAATGGCATTTGCTGATCATGTGTACCAAACAGAGAAATAAACTACAGATAAGAGATCTGGGCATCAGATTGAATACAGGGAAAGAGCAATAGAATAGCTTCTATTTGCTAGTGTTTACACAATTCTATTGCGTTTTAGAATGCATTCATTCCCAACCATAATGCCCAAAGCCTTAGGTGGCTGCAGGGAGCTGCCAGCTTTGAATTCAGTGGGCTTCAGCCTGCAAAGTTCCTAAGAACCTTTGTAGGTTGCATAAGGGCAGCGGCTGCTTTTTGACTTGTTCTCGTGCATCGTCTGGAGCACAACGGTTTGACGCATGAAGAGAGCTGGCTGGGGATGTTTTCCCCTTTAACTGCAGTAACAAGTTATTCTATTATG